GACATTGGACCCAACCAGGTTGCTTGAGTGAATGTATGGGGTGGCGAGACACAAAGGAGGCTGTTTGGAGTAAGCGAGAGGGAGTAGAGAGTGAGAGGTACCCGCACCTGTATTCTGGACTTCAGGAAGACATTGAGTGACTTTTGGGCTTCCCCTCAAGAGGGAGACTTGATCGGAGGCTGCCATATCTGCATCGGATTGCTGCAAGTTGCTACTTTGGTCTTCAGGCATCAACGGGGGATCCGACTTTGCAACAGGGGTGTAGGAAGGCCCTCTTAGTCATGCTAGGACACTTCGTGTAGTGGTAGCTAGGCGTCAGGAGGACTTATATGAGAGGGGAGTGACTCGTTATCCATCTTTGGAGGCCGGGCCTCACAGGTAAGTACCGTGCGACCTGGGTAAGCCCGTGGGAGGTTGCTTAGTGCTGTATGACCTGTTGGGGGTGTGCTGGGTTCTCTTCCCCTACTCTGCAGTCTTGGTTGTGTGTGTTGAGCATGTGGATTGCTTTCTCACCTGATGGATGAATGGATGACGTATCTTGTTCTAAATGACTCATCTTTCTACAGTGCATTGTCTTCTCACTTCTGAACGGTTGTAGGGGTAAGTTCTTGCTGGAAGTTGTCTTTTCCTTTTCAGTACGGTAGAGACAGTTTGGGTCTGACTTGGTACCCCTGTCTCGTTAGACCTGGTTCACGGCCTACTCGGGACCACTTGGGACCCAGTGGGACCAGGCCCAACAGGACGGGACCTTCGGGCCCAGATCTGCTGCCGTCGGTGCATTACTTTGCTGTGCTGAATCTGGGGGACACACGGACAGCAAGGACACTCCTTTCAAGGGGATCTTGACTGGTCTTACCKCGTGTGATCACATATTGCCCCGCGTCTGACTCGGCGACCATCTGCACCCCTCGAAATCTCCATTGCTGCAGTTAGTCTTCTTCGTCTGATTTATTGTGATGACACGTCCTCTGTCAGGTTAGACAAGAGGGGATCTCCAACTGATCTGATCGGGCCTGTTCTATAAATCAGACCTCTCTGTTGTTTTATTTTTTTATTTTATTTATTTATTCTGTTGCGTGCCACGTTGTCAATCCAAATGATTCGCCACTCCGTCTAGG